CATGATCCAACAAGGCTTCTCTTTGTTCTGCTGATGAAAAGATGAATCATAAACCAAGGTTTTGGGGTTTTAGACATGGATACTATTGCTGCTTAATTAGAGAGACTGACCCGCCCTCCTGTGTGTCCGGAACACCGAGGTCAGGACTGTAGTCAGGCTGGCTAACAACTTCTCGAAGCACTCCGACCGTTTGTCAGGCACACCTGGAGAAGTCTCACACCTCGGACACTGACCCTCGTACCCCTGGCTGAACAGAGCCTGCATTAGGCACTCTTCACGATTTTCTGCAATTCACGGAAAAGGGGAGTGTGGTTTTCCCACACTAAGTCTGCCCGGCTATGGCATGCTGCTGGTGTCCCTGGTACATCGGAACAAATGATTGGCCATTTGTTGTGATGCTGGAGACCAGTCTTGGGGCCTCACTTGTCAAGATAAGCAAGCATTCTGCCACTGGATGACACCACAGTTTTATTTTTACTTAGTGTTATGCAGTTCAGGTCGAACTTGAACATGTCCCCTTCCTGCAGTGGCCTCCGTGGTTGACCCTTTCTGTATCTTTTTATTTTCTACAAAGAAGTGGGGAGTGTAGCTAGAGTTTTCCTGCCTGGCCCACAGTCAGGACAAATCTCTCTCACCTTCCAGTCCCACAGCCTCTCAGACCCGACCAAGTAAATACAGAGACTTATATTGGTTACAAACTGTATGGCCGTGGCAGGCTTCTTGTTAATTGTTCTTATAGCTTAAATTAATCCATTTCTATTAATCTGTACCTTGCCACATGGCTCGTGGCTTACCGGCATCTTCACATGCTGTTTGTCATCATGGCGGCTGACAGTGTCTCTCTGACTCAGCCTTCCACTTCCCAGCTTTATTCTCCTCCTTGTCCCGCCTACACTTCCTGCCAGGCCACTGACCAATCAGTGATTTATTCATTGACCAATCAGCAACACACTTGACATACAGACCATCCCACAGCAGGGAGCATCATAGTATGGATGGGTTAGTGCATGTATTAAATTGAACAGTCTACCAATTGCTAGGCATGTAGGTGACCCAGCTTGTCCATGTTATTATCACTTGACAGAACCAAAGCCCAGCGCAGACAGGGTCACAGGGAGGTACCTTCAGCCAGGGCAGGAACATCATCATCGTGTACAATCCTTCTGGGTCTGAAGCTCAGTGTGAGGCTAGTGTTCTTTACTGACTGTAGGGAGGAGGAGGGGGCTGGGATTCTACCTGCAATGTAGATTAGAAGAGAAAGGTGAAAAGAGAAGGGACCCCCCCACCTCCAATCCGTGTTCTTATGTTCCCTCTACTTCATTCTCGTTGGTCTACCTTCCCCAGCCCAACCCTAGTCAAAGAGTGCATTTCCCATGGAGACTTGCACCAGGCTGGCCCTGGCCTGCAACTTCACCATAGACAGACACCATTCATCTATTACTCCTGTGCCTCCTACATTTCTATATTGATTCTTTCTAGCCCTTATCAATTCTATTTCCTAAAAGCAGTCAATTGCCGTGGTAAAGACTGTGCAGGGAGCTGGAAAGCCTTCATCCCCTCATCAGCTGACTGCCTCACAAAGAAGTGAGGCCTCAAGATGAAGAAAAGTTGCCTTGGATGGAGGCAGAGATCAGAATCCTGCTTCTCAATCCCCTGCCTCCACTCCAAGTGGGATTTATTCCCAAGATACCACCTGTCCCTACACTGAACAGTCAGTATTCATCAGCCAGTGAGCACCTCACAGCTCTGTCCTGTCCCTGGCCAGGCTGCGCCCCCACTAAAAAACCAAGAGTTGACCACAGCTTTAATTGTAATTAGAAATTAATATCTTCTTTACTACCAATTCAGCCCTACTTAATTGGCAATGGAATATAATTCTAGAATCTCTTTTTCCTGGCTCCTTACCTGCTGTAGTTATGGATCTTAACTGTCTACCAAAGTGCCACACATAACACTAAAGCCTTGGTCCCCAGCCAGGCACTATTAAAAAGGGGAGGAGCCTTTAAGAGGTGGGACTTCCTAGGAGGTCTATAGGTTACTGGGGACAGATCTTGAGAAAACAGTGGCCTCTGTCTCTTCCTCTTCCTCTCATTTGCTCCCTGGCCACATTATGAACAGGTTCACTGGACCCCGCACTAAAACCGTGGTGGGATTCCACAGAGCCAATGCATTCAGCTATTATCTCCAAAATCAGAAGTCAAAACAAACCTTTGTCTTTGTAAGTTGAAATCTAACACATGATGGTAGTCAAAATTCAGCATCTCTCCTCTAGATGGTAATGAAGCTCACTGTAGTCCAAGCCAGCCCCTGCCTTGACACCCTTCAATTGAGAGCTCCAATGGCCAATCACAGAACTTCACTTACAAGGAGAACATGCCTCTAGACACAAATCCTAGCCCGTTCAGAATCTGTTTAGAGAATAATATAAGAATGAACATTCAACAAACTCACAATAACGTAAGATGCTGCCAGCCAATGACTGGCCAATAGATTCAAACACAGTCATGATACGGGACACTAGAAATCATTTAAAGGAATAAGACAATGATGCAAGAGGATGTCCACTATGTTTATATGCTGTGATGGCGTGAAGACAAGAGGGTCTCACCGCCTCACGTGTTCAATGCCTGGTCCCTACTTGGTGCTGCTACTATGGGAAGTCCTAGAAACTTCGAGTGGTGGGAACTAACTGGAAAGAGTAAGCACTGGGGTGTGTCTCAGCATTAAAATGGCCCTGGTCCCCTCTAGCTGTCTTTTTTCTGTGTATATAAGGTTAAAATCCTGCCCAAGTTCATGGGACAAAATACAGTCCTCTGACACAAAGGGCCAAATGACTGTCCCCAGGAAGCTGATCGCAGTCACCGTTAAAGCAGCTAACACATGGGCCTTGTTTGCATGGTGTGCAGGCAACAAAAAAATTGGGGCAAGAACTCACCAGACACTTAAAACCTGGGTCCACCCGTGAAGTAAAACAGAGGGAGGATGGGGGATTATTTTTATTTTGATATTGTTTTACAAGCTTCTCTGTTATTTAAATGCATGACAATAAGTAGTTTTGACTTTGTAAATAAATCAAGTAAGGATTCATAAGTACATTTATCATCTGAGGGTTTCTTTAGAAACCATTTCTTTGTGATATAGTAAATGTTTTACAATGCAGTGCACTTGCTATGTGGCACAATTACAGAATGTAGTCTATAGTAAACTCATCTTTGGGTTTTCCCAGAATGCCTTGCTTAATATATATATTAGTGATTTTACAAATATATTTTAAATACAATTTCCCCAGTTAATGAACATAATGGAACAATGACCACGACTTTACAATAATTTATCTAATGTTGTCGCTAGGCCATATATTTTACTATATTTTGCATATATTATATATGCATGCAAATATGCATGCAACCGAATGAGAGAATGACCTGTGTGGTGCTATTGCCAAACATGTCTGGATCGCTGCTGTGGGAACCCCAAATCACCAAGTGTTTCCAAAGGACACGAGTCATCATTGAACGGGGAGTGGGGAATTAGATTTGGAACATTGTGTATACACAGCTTTGACTGGTTCCTGTGAGTCAAGGCCACTTACCGGATTACACACATCAGCCGGAAGCCCCTTTCTGATCTTGGAGAGCTTTACCTTAGAGTGAAGCAAGGGTTCTGAGGATCTTTTAGGGGTCAGGAAAGAAATTCCAAGCCCTAGCCTGCTGCAAAAGAGTATTCACTTCATATACACACCTCCAAAATCCTGCCCAGAGACTAACAGGCATTAACTGGTACTTAACTAAATATTCAAAATCTTACAGAGGCCGAAGCAGTCACCAGACAGAAGAGCAAAGAAAGGCAAGAGGAGCCTTTGCCCCCACAGCAGTTAATCTGCCTCCCACACCCCAGGTAGTTGCAAGGTGGAAAGTCCAGAGGCAGAATTGAACATGCCTAATCTCTTTTATAACAATGTTCTTATTTTAACCCATGTCATCGGGGGAAATGGCTGAAAATAGTGACAAATACAACATCAATAAACATAATAATAATTGATTTTTCCAGAGATGAAAAATTTGAAATTAGTGACCATTTCCCCCCCAGAGCATTGGTTGATTAATTTAATGTTCGTCTTGGTCTTTCAAAGACATCCTCTCCCGGAGCATCTGCTCTGCCCGCCGCTGTGATGGGTTTTGTGGTTTTGGACCCCGTGGTTAAAGCATATTGCACAGTTGTGCAGTTTTAAAGCGATTCTTGATAGTGTGAGGGGGGCTGCTGCCAACAGCAAGACTTAGGGTTCCCGAGACTGGAATCTGTGTTGTCGGAGAGAATGTAAACTCACTCGGTGACTGTGTGTTCCGTGTGTCTCTAGCCTCCAGATCTAAGAAACGGATCTGAAGAACTGCTACCTACCTACGAGTGCTGGAGAGCCGACTATGAGGGGAGAGTGAAGGCTACTCTTCCTAAGGACCTAGGTTCGATTCCCAACATCCAGATTGGTAGCTCACAACCATCTCTACCTCAACTTCCGGGATATCTGAAGCCATCTTTTGACCTCCACAAGCACAGGAAGGCATGTGGCACACAGACACACATTCACAAACACACACACACACACAGAGAATAAAGATAAATGTCATTAAAAAAACAAATACTACCTTGTGATTTTCTAGAGTACCCAAAATTCACCAAATTAATTAAAATCTCAGAGTAGAAGTGGACTTTCCCTGAACTAGCTTGGAACTCTCGGCAGGGAACAAGATGATGTTTAAGATGATGTTTAAGTGGTCTTGACTGTTTGTCCCCACTTCCTGTCTCCTTCCTTTGTATAATATATATATATATGTATTTATTAGACATTTGTATTATTTTTCATAATATTTTATTGATTATTTGGGGATTTCACATCATGAACCCCAAGCACACTTACTTCCTAGTCCCCCCCAGGTCCTCTCCTCCCACCCTTGGGACCCCCCCTTACAGGAAAAGGAGAAGAAAGAAGAAGAAAACAAGTCCAGTTTGTGTTGCCCATGTACTCACTGAGCACGGTCAAACTCCTGGAGGCTGGCCCCGTAAAGAAAACTGAGTCCTTCCCCCCAACCCCCAACATAAGCCTTCAGTTGTGGAGAGCTACACTTCATGATCCCTATCACAACTTTTAAGAGTTCTCTTCAATGGCTTTTGTGTCGGCTGCTACTTGGGGCGGATGACAGTAGGGTTGTCACAGAAGCCTTCTCAACTGTGAGTCACCACAGTCATCAATTCCACTGCCAAAGTGGATTCCTTGTCCTTTACAGTCAGCGGGAGCATAGATCATGGACTTCCACATGGTTTTTGGCACTGCCACCTGAAGCCATGGTGATTTCTGGGTCCATGCTGCTGCCAAGGGCCATGTCTGGGTCCATGGTCCTACTGCAGCTGGGGTCTGTGTTGATGTCTCCTTCCTTTTAAAATACCAAAAAATAAATAATAATTTTTTAAAGTCACCTGTAAACCATCACAAAGTTTGCTGATCATATTTACCCTGAGCATACAATCACCATCTTCTATTCTAAACATGAGTAGACTGAGGCACACTGGAGAGGGGTGACTTCCCAAGACCCGGTAGCCACTGAGTAAATTCAGGGGCATGGATGGAGCACCCTCCTCACACACAGCAGAATTCCAGACTCTTTCTCCTTCCACAGTTAGTCTTCCCTAGACCAACCAAGAAGATCTGCACTCAACTCCACCAGTAACATCTCCATCTAATGTCCCCATCACCCAAAACGACTCTTGCATGGAAGAAGCCTGTGTATGCGCACAGAGGCAGGAATTTAAATCTCTCACCTCCCGACCCTTGCCAAACGTTACATCACTTGAGGCTCTGACTTTAACACTCGAAATGTGTGACCGTGAACTGCAGGTACACCCTTAGGGACCCGGATTCTTTGAGTCTCTTTATATCATCAGCTGCAGAAATGAGCCTAAGCTGTGTGCTTTGCAAACGGCTTCCTATGGGGGGGTGGTCCCCAGCACCAGCTGCCTAACCTTAACCTCGACAGTGGCCCTTCCTATTCGTTATGACCTTACTTTTCTTAGGACATGGTATGTAGAGGAGTTTGTCTTGCCTTGTACTTATTACCCTTGTATACTACAAATCCACCAGAGGATAGTGGCTTCTACCTCTCTCAAATGTGTGACCTTTCACCTCATTCCTCTCTGGTCCAACCTAGGGTCCCCACAATTATCTACTAGAATCGCCTAGGTTCCTTCTTATGAAGATGTGTTCAGCCTTGAGCTGCAGTATTCACCCTCACGGGAAAGGAGGCAACAGGAGATGCCCAGGGACCCTTACGAATGGAAACAAACTCCTCAACATTTTACGGAGAATAACTTTCCCTAAGCACAGGTCACGGTGAAATTCAGCACTGAGTTGTCACAGGCCAAGCTCCATAGGCCAGGTCAGCATCAGACATCAATGGAAGATGCCAGAAATAAAGACAAAACCTTTCTTCCAAGGGAGTAACACATCACTTGTAAACACTTAAGAGTGATTTTTTTCACCTTTTTTTTTTTTTTGGCACTAAGAATCAAACCCAGAACCTTACTGTGCTAAGCAAGCATTCTCCCACTAAGCTATGTTGCTTCCCAAGAGTGCATTTTGAAAGGTTTTTTTGTTCCCATTAACTATAGCTTCCTACAAAACATCAGGACAAAATGGGAGGAAATCCCTGCTTTATACCTTCTGCCTTCCAGAGCTGCTGAGGCAGAATCATCCCCAGGAGGGCTGGGGACACAGCCAGAGTCACTGAGTCATGCTCTCCAGGCACAGACCCCATTTATAACCTCTTCCTTAACTTTGTTTATCTCTGCAGAAACACACAGATGCATCGCACTTTCCAGAAGTTGGGGCCCTGTGATCATTACTTGTCATTGGAGGAAATGAGATTAGGGGAGCTTAATTCCTCTTCTCAGAAAGTCCACACTGTAATAAATGGCTCCTCGATGACCTTCATCCCTGGGTGGGGCTGCTGGGTTTCACCATTCCCTCGGGCCCTGGTATCACGGGAACAACTAACGAAGGTGGTAGCTTTGACACTTAACCTCCACCCCAGACAGAAAGAGGACCAGAGAGGCTCACCTTCTCAGTCAGCCTTCACAACACAGGGGCACACCTGTCAGGACACGGTAGAAATTTCAGAATCCTCAGCTTGTACTTTGCTGGGTTTACCCCAGGAGTACACACTGAGTGGATTACACTCCTCACATTTCTTTATGGCTCTGAAGGCCAGAAGTAGATCCGATTATTTCTGGGCTGGGAGGGAGGGATCAGCTATGGGCCTCTCTGGCTCCTCTCAGGATCTCTCTCAGGATCTTTTAATCATCTTTAGAATATTTTCTTTAATTTTTATTAGTTCTTAGAGAATTTCATAGGATTATTTTGATCATATTCGCTCCCCTCTCCCAAATCCTCCAGGATCCACCCCTTATTCTCTCCCGTTTCCAGTCAGTCCCAGATCCACAAGAGTAGAGGACTTGTCAGAAATTATGGCTGAGAGTGGCAATACCAAGGACAACCTGGGGAGACGGATGCTGAGCTGGTTCATCCATCACAGGCCTCACTCACTGGACTCAGAAGCACCAGCTGCCTGTCAGTGCCAAATGCCTGCCCCAGCATGCCTTGGCTCGTGGCTTCTTCTTCCATCTTTAAAGAGAGTAGCAAGGCAGGTTCTGATTTGTCCATCTGGACTTTCCTGTATGCAGGTCCATGAGATGAGAGCAGTCTCACTCGAATAACCAGCAAAACCTCACATAATATAAAATATCTATGGGTTCTGGGATTAAGGTGTGGACATCTTCAGTGAGACAGAGAAAGCAGAGAAAAATCCCTTCCTATGATGAATTCTGGTGGCAAGAGTAGAGAATAAGGCCTTTAGGGCTGGGGAGATGCTCAGTGGTTAAGAGCACTTTCTGCTCTTGCAGAGGACCTGGGTTTGGTTCCCAGCATCCACATAGTAGCTCATAACCATCTGTAACTCCAGTTCTGGGGATGCAGTGCCCTCTTCCTGACCCTCATGGGTACCTCACTTAAGCACACTGTAGCTGAGGTTTTCTCCTGTCCTGCCCAGCCCCACAGACCCTGCAGCCACTTATAAAATAATCACTCACATGCTTATATTAATTAAAACTGCTTGGCCATTAGCTCAGGCCTACCACTGACTAGATCTTACATTTAAACTCAGCCCGTTTCTGTTCATCTATATGTTCCCACGTGTTCTGTGGCATTTCCTGTGAGCCATTACATGCTGCTCCCTGGACAACGGGCTGGCATCTACTGACTCAGCCTTCTAGCCTTCCCACAATTCTCCTTGTATGCTTATCCCACCTATACTTCCTGCCTGGCTACTGGCCAATCAGCATTTTATTTACCAACCAATCAGAGCAACACATTCACAGCATACAAAGCCATATCCACAGCAGCATACAAACTAGTCCTCAGACACACATCTATACACATAGTAATTAAAATGACAAATAAATCTTTTTTAAAACAACAAGGTTTTTATACCATGGCATAATGACTGAAGGACCCACTGGGTTCATCATGGTTTATTTCTTTTGTTGTCATCATTGCTGACAAAAAAGAGGGCCCAGGTGAGCAGTGTGTGGTGGTACACACCCACAACCAAGGTATATGAGAGGAGGCGGGGTGCTCAGGAACTCAGGGTCACTCCTGACTACACACGGATTTGATGCCCATCTAGGCTACAATGAGACCATCTTGAAAAGACAAAAAGAAGCAGAAGGGAAGGGCCGAGGGGACTTGAATGGGATTAGGTTGGAATCCAGGCTAAACCATGCAGGAGGAACAAGAGACTCAGACTGTACGTAGAGACCCCATCACAGCATCAGACGTCTGGGAGGTAAAGAGCTGCCTGAGGAGCTCGGTGAGCAACAGGATGGGTTGAGGGGTCAGAGTTCGAGTCTTAGAGATCTCACACTCCCCAAGTCAATAGAATCTAAATGCCTCATTCCACAGTCTTTGCCCCAACCAATCAGCATTCGGGAAGGACCAACCAGAAGGTGATAGTGATGAGCAGCAGTATCATGCTGGCACAGTACCACCAGATGCTTGCCAAGCACCCCAGTCTCTGTAGCATACACCACCCTGGTACACCTTCCCTTAGCCAGTCTCTATTCAGAGACCTGTGATCCCGCACTATCAGTATCAGGGCTGAGCATGCTCCCAGGCCCTGGTGGGTCCATGCTGCCCTGGACCTCATGGTCCTTCTCTTAGTTATCTGGCTTGAGACATCCTTGGCTGAATACTCCATTATGTAAGTCCATCAAGGAACATAGAGGCCAAGAAGAAAGGTAAGACAATGCCACTGTCTGGCAAAGAGATTTCTCCACTGTCTCAGGAGAGAGGTGAGTCCTAGTTTGGGAGTGGGAGCTTATTTCTGTAACTGGAAGATTCAGAAGGACGTTGGAGTAGGTAACTACCCTGGTCTTGTTCACAAGGCATTTAGGTAGGGTTTTAAGAAAGCACAGTAGTACATAGACCCTTTGGGCTCTCATTCTAGTATAAGAAATAGTCACCATCACTCTTACTGCCACAGACTAGCACAGGCTGCCTATAAACAAGAGCGGGGGAGCAGGCTTCCTGGTCACACTGCAAAGTCACGCTGCACAGAAAACCGAGAGAAGGCGGCCATTTTTTGTAGCCTATGAATCTCTTTGTTAGATTCTGCATGAATTGATATTTGTTGTGGGCCCAAAGCAGAGCAGCCCCTGAGAGAGAGGGGCCATGACAGCCTCATGAAATTTCTTGGCCAGTTATTAAAAATAAGAGCCAGAAATTCCTGAACAATGCTAATGTCTCTTTAGAGACCTAGCAGGACAGACAGGCCCAAGCCAAGCCCTGGGTTTTCAGGTTCCTCTAAGTGAGCTCTGTGTGTCCTCTGACCATGAGAGTCCATCTAGAAAGGACTCTGGGATGTCTGCTTTCAGAACTGAGCAAGTCTCTAAACAGGCAGAACCCTGACCCAACCGACAATCCATGCAAACAGAGAAGAGGATCCTGCTGCCCACCTGGCGCTCTCCTAGTGTGGATGTTACCACGTTCTTTGCTTCAAAGGAGAAGAGATAATGAGGAATTTTCTCTGATACACAAACTTCACAGAAATACTATGAAGATTATGCACACAAAGAAAGAAAGAGAGAGAGAGAGAGAGAGAGAGAGAGAGAGAGAGAGGAAGGGAAGGAAGGAAGGAAGGAAGGAAGGAAGGAAGGAAGAAAGAAAGAAAGAAAGAAAGAAAGAAAGAAAGAAAGAAAGAAAGAAAGAAAGAAAGAAAGAAAGAGAAAAAGAAAGAAAGAAAGAAAAATTCCTACAAATATATTAAGGTAGAGACCCAAAGGTAGCATATAGCTCAGAGAACCTAACCTTGGCAATGGACACCGG